ATGTGCTAAGCACAAAGAGATCCACTGGTCTAACAGCCAGCCAGAGTAAAATACACACACACACACACACACACACACACCTGGGTGATATGGATAGGGTGTCTGCATCACTTAGAAGAAATGTACTTCTTGGGCCCTACCCCAAGCTTTCTCTTTCAGAAGTTCTAGAAACTACTGTATCAAGTTCTCTGTATTGGATAGGGTGGTCCATGCCTCTAATCTCAGCAATTGGGACACAGGACTAGTCAGGCATATCACACACACATACACAAATATATATACACACACATACACATACATATATGTATATAATATATACTATATGTATATAAGGTGAGCCTGTGTCTTAAAAAGAAAAAAATAGAAGAAGAAAATTCTCCAGGCAATGTAGATGCTTAAGTTTGAAAAGGTTTTCAGTGGATTAAAGCAGGATCCAGTTGGAGCAGCAGGTCACTAATAATCTGGGCTTGGAGTCCTGATGTTGACTCTTGTACTTGTTTCCTGCTCAGATTAATAGCTTCTGCTCACACCAGCACTCAGGAGGCCGAAGCAGGAGGATGAAGTTGGCACTTCTCACCCAGGAGTCCTGGGGCTGTTGCTGATGCAATAGATCATGACCTTCCTGTGCTCTCATCACTCTCTCATGCCTTGAATACAGCTCAAACAAAAGTGAAGACATTCTTCCTCTCTCCTAAGTATTCTCTTAGGTAAGAATACAAATTGTCTTAGTTCTTGGGTTTGATGCTTAGCCCCATCAAAACAACACCATTTGAGGAGAATGTCCACTCACATGGTGGAATTCAAGTATCTGACTAGGTCTTGGTTTTCTGCAGGGGATGCCCCAGTGTCTCAGTAGATCTTCCAAGGAAAAGAGAACCAGTTTCATCTAGTTACCAGGTCAGTGAAAAGAATACTCCCATGTTATGACATTTTATCTCTAGCCTTCTTTTTGCTCATTTCTTCTACAGTGTCACTGAAGTCTCTAAAATACCACCTCTTTTGTCTTTCGTGTCTTAGGACAGTGGCAGCAGGGTGGGGGTGGTGGTGGTTATGTTTTAGATTTAGAATTAAAACCGTAAGACTCTTAGTTCCACATGCTAAAGTTTCCTGCTTCAGTGTAACTGTGTGTTACGATAAAGCCACAACCCCGCGGGGGCTTCCAAGGGTTACCAAACCCTAGGCCAGCAATATGGCATTTACACCTCTTGATTGGTTTTTGTGCCATTTTCATAAGAAGCAGAAAGGAAATATTTACATTGGAAAACACATTGTGATTGGAAGACTATGTTAAAAATCTTGCTTCAGCAGAGAACAATAATATTCATGAATCAGGACTTTGCTTTACAAAATATGGCAAAGAGTCATAATTGTTCAGCTTTGGCTCTCTCTTGCTTTGGTTACAATCTGTGGAAATGTCAACTGAGTCAAGGCCCATGAGGAGCTGCAAAACAGCAATACTTTAACAATTGCTCAAGCATTTGCTGAGGTCCTAATGACTTAAGGCAGAAGGTTGTAAACAACAAATGTTTGAGGCTGGAAGACTACCAGCATTAATACAACCACTAACATCTTAATTCCTCGATACATAGACCAAGGAAAAATGGCATCTTTAGCTTTTTCCTTCATTCCTATTTAGGAAATGTAAAGATTGTTAATCTATTTTAGATAAAAGAATTGTGTAAAAGAAAAAGAATGTAATTCAGAGATTTTATTAATTTTCAATTCTAGAATCAGACAACACTTGAGGCACTCTACTATCACTTTAATGTTACTTGTTTATGTAGTCAAAATTGTATATTCCAATATGATATTCTACACTACTCTCTTCTCCCTTCCCCATACTCCTTAGACTCAATATTATTTCTAAGTTAGGGTCCCGCTTTATGGCCTCTCTGATCTCAACTGTGATCTTATTTGTGCTTCTCTTTGTTGCTGAGTAGACAGGCATGTACCACCACACCCAGCCACTGGTTAAGATGAAGTCTCCTGAATTTTTCTACTCAACTGGCCTTGAACTGTAATCCCCCAATCTCTCTCTCACATAGCTAGGACTACAGGCTTGAGCCATTGCACCCAACTTGTTCAAGAGTTATATAGCCTTTGACCTTCAGGACCTGCTTCCTTTGTTCAGAGATCAGTAAATGGGGTTGAAAATTCCAATCCTCTAAACCCGTTTTATTCCTTCCATCATTGAGTGCTTCTGAAGTCCTGTTCTAAATTACATCCACTTTAAGTCTAAGAGGGCTCTTTATGAGAAACAAAAAAAAAAAAATGTTCCTATCACCCAGGAAATCTTAGGGGTTTATGAAGCTCTAGGTCAGGGATTGGGGACAAAGACTAAATATATTTTAGTATAGCCCTCTTCCCTTTTCTACAATTTCCTTTGAGGTTTCAGTTATCAGCTACCTGAAAATATTAGGTGGAAAATTCCAGAAAAAAATTTTTTAAGTTATGCACTGTCTAAGCCTGGTGACATTTTGTGCTGTTTTGCTCCATCCCAGGATGTGACTTGTCCCTCTCTCTGCCCAGTGGATCCACCCAGTGTATTCTACTCTAAGCTAGTCACTTTGTAGTCACCTCAGTTATTAGGCTGACTAGCATGGTGCCACAGTGCTATGTTCAAGTAGCCTTATTTTACTTAATAATTGCTCCAAAGGGATACTGGCAATTGGGATATGCCAAGGAAAAAGTAACATGCCTTAAGTGAAAAAGTAAAAGTTCTCAATTTTAGGAAAGAAAATCACATGTTGAGATTGCTAAGATGTATAGGAAGAACAAATCTATTTGTGAAATTGTGAAGAAAAAAACTTGTGCTAGTTTTGCTGTCACACTTCAAACTGCAAAAGCTTACGTAAAGCTACAAAATATGCTAAGTACCTAATTAAGATGGAAGAGACTTTATTTGTGTGTAGGAAAAAACGTAAAGGTCAGTTTTGGTACATCAAGATTTCAGGCATCCTCTGGGGTTCTTGGAGTGTCCCTCAAGGAGACAGTCATCAGGCTGAGACCATTCTTTGCTGCAGAATGTCCAAAGGCTGGCAGTGTGCTGGGATACTGAGGGACTGACAGGCTTGGCTGGTGCAGGAATATTCCACTTGCATTCCAGTCCAGGCAGCAGACAACCACTTAGAAGGATGAGTGATACTTTTGAATAAAGTTCTGCATCTGACAAAAGTCACTTCATTTCTCTCTCTTTTCTCTAGGAGTCAGAGGAATGCTTAAGGTCAAATTTATTATGAGCTCACTTTTCTCTTGTCCCAAGGCTAGTACTGTACAATGTATTATGAGAACACAGGAAGTATGTATACAGTGGGTTGGGCAGATGACTGTCTTTTTTAAATTTGGAGACATGTGAACCAGGTCTCTAAAAATTAAGAGAGGCTGACAGATCGCTGACCTTGTTTTGACTAAGTCTTCTCCCCTCCACCAGAGTGGACATCAGGTCAGAGAAGCTCAAATGTTCAGCGAGTGTAGGCTTGTTGGTGCATGTAAAAAACACTACTGTCTCAGGCTCATGGAACTAAGTGCGTCTCACTGAACCCTGACAGACACGAATACCATGCATAGAAATCAACTCATCAAAAATGCTTTGAGATTTCCTTGTAAAGCTAATGCCCAATTCCTAGAACTATACAATTGGAGGACAGACTTGGGTACTCTGATTATCTAATATACATTCAGAAAGTCTGCTTTTCAATTGGACTTGCCAATAATACCTAATTAGCTTTGGGTGATAAGCTATACATGTTTTGTTAAAGATGATGATAGGTTGTCTGATGAGGTAACACGGTGGTACAGTGCATGTACCAAGTTCTGAGCTCAATTCCTAGCAACACAAACACACACACACACACACACACACACATACACACACACGTGGTTTTCTCTTTGAGTTTATCAAATAACAACAAACATTTTGCTAACTATCCATTCTTTCCCGTAAAGACATTTTTCAAAATCTCCATTTAGTGAAGGATTCTTTTTTTTTTTTTTACTGGCCAGTTGCTGTTAATGGTATTAAAAAACAGAACTTTGGGCTAGGGAGGTAGCTCCAGTGGTAAGCCTGCCTAGCAAGTGAGAGGCTCTGAATTCAAAGCCCAAACACCCAAATAAACAGAACAAAGAAAGAAAACCACAGAAAACTTGTGGAGAGGGGAATTTCCTAGTTTTCTCAGTAATTTGTTTTCAGAAATACAAGGAACATGGGCGGGGTGGGGTGGGGTATCTGAGGGTGACAGTGACAAGCATTACTGGTCTCTGGTCACTTCCAAACTGTGGCAGAAACTGAAACCTCTGCCTTACTATTAAAGATCATGATTTAATGAGTTTTCCAGGAGCCAGAGAAATATGTGAACAAAAGATTTTGGGAGATGCTTGAACAAATGTCTGAGTGGCTGGAATTGCTCAACTGTCCAAGTGTGTTCACAGATGAGGAATTGTGATTCCCTTCTGCACACCCCGAGGGCGTGCACCAAACATCCATCTGTTTAAAAAAGCCACGAAGCACGCTATTCACAGAGCTGGTAAACTGTGACCTTGTCTGCAAACAGGCTCAGAACCCTCCTTTGAAGCTGCATGTTGTGGTGCTCGTCTACAGCCCTAGCACTCTAGAGGCAGGGAAATCAGTGTGAGGCCAGCCTGGGCTATATAGTAAGACCTTGTCTCAAACAAAACAGAAACTCCAACTCCCTCTAAAAGTTGATTTAATAGATAATTTACCATGATAAGGTATGGAGGGATGACATGTTCTAATTGTAAGCAGTTTTAAACGATTCTTTTAGGAGCTTGCTGTAAATACTTTAACAATAAATACAAGAGATGAGAGAAAAGTACTCAGTATTAGGTAAATGGCCAAATACATTTTCTAAATTCTCATTCATGGCTAAAAACCCTATCCATTTTTTAATTTCTAAAAGCCAAATTTAATAAATTAACAAATGCATGCTGATAAAACACCACATTACAACTGAAAAGCAATAATAATTTCACAGAAAATGCTCTGTGTTGTACATTTTTATTGGTAGGCTAACTTATTAAAGTAACAAATCTGGAACACATTTTGATTTTGCTGCAGAGAAAGTACTACGTTAGAGAAGAGCTAGGAGAAACCAGAAATGAACCATTTGCAAAAATTCAGCATGACAGTCTATGGTAATGCAATAGCCAGGGGTGCTGTTTACCCATATGTGTGTGCATGTTTATACAAGTATCAGAAACCAAGGGCATGGACCCCAAAGCAAAGTTATGACAGTTTTCTCGGGGAAACATGCTGGGTGACAACCACAGACGACCCAGGACGGAGAGGCAGAGCAGGCACAGGTCTGCTTCCTTGGTGTGGGGTTTTCCTTATCAAATAGGGGTAATCATGCAATAGTTTGAGTTTCTCTTAACATGATAAACACCCATAATTACTAAAACTGGAAAACATGTGTTCACTGTTTACAAGGACAGCTGAATGGAGTGGTGCTATGGAAAGACAAAGTTCCTTCATTTTAATCTGGTTATTTGCCCAAACCTCTAACCAAGAAATAATTCAGCTAGTGGAGCCAATTAAATTACTATAAAACATTCCTTCATCTGTAAAACATTTCTTTCCCTGAAAGTGAAATTTAAAATAAAATGTCTTCATTTTTGATAAGCAGCTCCACCACCAGTCTCTGATACCGTATATCATTCAGTGCAGCCATGGCGTCTAGTTCTGGGGATCTCATAAGAGTTGGACCAAACACTATCCCAAGGTTCTCTGCACTCATCAGATTCTCCTTCTCATGGAGGGTCACTCTGAAAACACAAGAAGAAATGACTAAGTCAAGACTTCTTCATTGGGTCCGAGCACTAAGACAAGCAAAAGATTCATAATAAAGATGAGATGACTGATTAACTCTTTTGCCATGCTGTTTCTGCATACTTCCCTGAAGCTTCACAGTACTGACTTCCCTGAAAGAAGATTTCTTTCAATAAGAACCGTCCTGATGAGGGATGAAGCTCACATGTGAATGAATGTGCTGGGCTGTAGGGTATGGGGACGATTGTCTGGATTCTCCTGCTCCAGTTGTAGGAGAGAAGGACCAGGTCACCCTGACCAGCCTTCCACCTTCCCTCCACTTGGCCTCTCATGCTTCTGATGGGAAGCTTTCACAAGTTGAAGAGTTTAATGAGTGTTTGAGGAAAAAGCAGTTGAGATAGTGACAGGACACAGCTCAGAGTAAGCACAACTATTCTTTGCTTTACCACAGCCACAGTGTAGACTATTATTTGAGTATCAGTCCTTTGTTTTAGTGTTTCTGTTAATTTACACCCAAATATGCAGCAAGGTTGAATTTATGAGTAGAATTTATGAGTAGAGCATATTCCACAAAGGCTTTCGTTGCTTTCTCTAAGGTCTTGGAAGCCAGCTTGCCTATTCTAGAAGGTCCTGGCCCTTTTAAAAAAAACCGCTTAAGTTTCTATTTCCTCAATGCTGTACTGTTTTCCCAGTGTGATGTGAAAATTCCTGCCCCAGTTGCAACAGTCTTGTTATACTCCTTCTCAGAATGAAACTCCCAATTCTCAGAACTGACTCTCTCCCCAAATTCCCATGGTCCAGGTAGTGTGACCCATGTGACTACCTCTATCACGTAGTATGACCTGTGTGACTGCCTCCTAAAATTCTGTTTAAATTCTACCCACACTTGTCCACTGCTGCTGCCTCTATTCCCACTTGGAGCAGCCTGGCAGGTCTGTCCCCCAATAAAGCCTTGATCCCTATTAGTTGCTTGCACTTCTTACCCTTTTAAAGAGAGTAAACACAAATATCTAAGAGTGACTTGCAAATTGCTTTGCTCTTACTTTTACTCTGCTGAAACTCTTTCCCCTTCCACAAAAATCAATGCATGTCCTTGGTAGAATATTAGTATTTCTAGCAGATTTGCAAATACTCAAACTGCAAATACATTTATGTCAGAATTGGGTGTGTGCAGTATTGTAGTACAGTATTTTTAGCATTCCTTTTTAACTAGTGTAATTTCTCATAAGACAATACAGCTATGCACTTATCCATTCTTTCAACAGATCTCTTGTTCTTCCTTTCACCTTCACACATTTTAAGATCTGTATGCAATACAAGTGTAAGATTCCAATCTAACTTGCCTCTTTAGATGTGCCATCAGGTACCGGAGGGTTTCGCAGTGAGCAGGCGGTAATAGTTTCAATGCTTCATGAAGGGTTTCTAACTGCTCATCAGGATCCATAATTTCTAAGACAGCAAGTCAAAACCCAAAAAGAAATGCTTTAACAAACTGATGCAAATGGCTCACTGAACACTATTCTGTGATGCTCTTTTCAAACTGTTAGAAAAATACTTTTACACAGATCCTTGTACCCAATTCTGGAAAATATTTTTTTTAACACTAAGCCACAGATTTACAAAGGCTTTTAGGTCAATGTGGCAACACTGTTTATTTGCATTTGGGGGAGAAGTATCTACTTTTTGTTCATATGAGTGTATTAGGAGTTGAATGTCTTAGTTTAGAAACTATGGAAAATAAAATGGAAACTGAATATTCAGGAAGTAAGTATAAAAAATTCGGATGCATAGTAACAGACTCTTATACATGCAAGGACATTCAGGTTAGATCATCTTAGAAAATTTAAGACATATTTAAAGTATTCAAAATATTTTGAAAGCTGTGCTTCCCATCTACTTCCTGTGATAGTCACACACACACACACACACACACACACACACACACACACACACACACACACACACACACAAAGTGGTGCTTAAGGTAGAACCCAAGGCATTGTGCATGATAAGGCAAGTGTTCTACCATTAAGCTACACTCTCAGCCCTCTCTTGCAACCAAGAAATCTATCATGTAATGTTTACCTGCTTTATATATTATACTTAGTTTTAAATTACTTTGTGTTACATAAAAAATATGTCTCCATTCAAAGTACAAGCATTTTGTATTTCTTGGGATATGCAAAAGAACACACAGTGGACTTGGAAAGCAATTCTAAATGTTCTATATGATGGCAGGACCCTTGAAATAACTGTGGCTCTTTGAAGGGTACATATTCATTTGGATATTTTAGATTCGCTGTATCAGCCAAAACCCCAGCTCATTCCTTTCAGGCTAGAAGTTGCATTTGATTTATCAATCATTTCTATAATTAGAAACAGTCAACATCTTCGAAATTTTGAGAGCACTGCAGGGGGAAAAAAAGAGAGAGAGAGAGAACCATAACACATTCTTATTCTGGGATGATGGGGTGTTTTAAAATGGTGGGTTCTGTAACAGGACCCCATGCTAGGAGTCCTAATTGGGATGGTATCCTTGAGGTATTAGGAAGGTTACATTTGAGCAGAACAGAAGATCAAAACTCCTGGTCTTTCTAACTTATAAAGCAAGCCAACTCAATGGCACAGTAGTTGAGTCATATAAAAACTGGCATAAGATAAATGTAAAATTTCTAGTCTTGGCAGAACAGATTTGATAAATTTCAGAATATGAACTGTGACTGAAGCCTTTTAATTCAAAAGAAACTTTGATTATTTTACAGTTTCTGCCCCTAGTTTTCTTGATTCCTAATTAATTTCTTTGCAAAGAAGAATGAATTATTTGCCCTTTGCAAATAAATGTGCTGTCGCAGAACCGTGGGACCTTTAAGAAGTGTTAACTCATTACACCAGTTCTATCTCAGGCAGTGAAATTCAATAGTCCAATGTCTAAAATTAAGAAAAGAAATTCCATTTACCGTGGAAAGCTAGTTTATTTTGTTTTAAATCACAGGGCTAATTTGAAACTATATGACTGTGAAAACTGAAAAAGAGTTTCCCTTTTACTTCTATTAATCTTTGCAAGGAGAACCTTGAACAAGTATGAAATTAAGGGTAGTGTTGATGGCTAGCTAATGACAACACGCAACAAAGTTTATAGTGTATTCCAATGATGAGGGGCTTAGGGAAATCATTGGGTAGGAGGCACAGCAAATGTGCGAGTTTTCAGTGTTAAATGGGTGGCCAGAAAGGTTCTCAGTGAGAAAGAAACCTCCAGTAAAAACTCAGAGGGAGGGAGAGAATGAGCTGTGGAGGGCTGGAGGAAGGATGGTTCCTGGAAGAAAAGACCAGGTATAGGTCATGAGGAGGGCAGACTGTAACATCTGAAGCAAGGTGGAAGCCATGTGCTTGCTCATGTCAGCAGCTGCAAGTAATGTTTCAAACCTAGGCCAACATTTAAGTAAAGCTATTTTAAAGTATGCTTTGTTAATTTCCTATAGAGAAACTTAAGTCCAGGAAGAATAAAACTTAGCGAAGCAAAAGGGGTGACTCAGTGGCAGGGCTAAAGGAAAACTAGAAAGCTCTCTTTCCCAGGTTTCTCTTTAGAAAGTTCAAGGTTGCTGGAGGAACAAACAACCCTAGGTTTTGGCTTTATATGCCTCATTCAAGACTGATGGCTTTTATAAGATCTTCTGGGAAGTCTTCTTCAGACTCCCCAGCTGGAGGACAGTACACAGTACTGGACTAGTAGGAGCTCTCTGGTGGAGGTGTGATTTTTCACCATTGTCAGACAGGTACACAAATGTTGGCTTATTCAGTAGCCTCGTCTTCCAGAGTTTGTGTTCAGGAGCAGCAGGGTCTCAGAAGTGAGGAGAGGGAGGCGTGGAGGAGGCAGACCCAGATTTCACAATGGGCTAGGAGGGGAGTGTCTAGGCTTAGGGAGGCTATGAACAGGAGGAAGTCTACAGTCAGGATGGCCTGACTTGGCATCCATTCCTTGTCCTCTCCAAGGAAGGCTGCAAAAACAAATTCACTAGAAGGTGAACGTTCACCAGCCACTGCAGAAGAAAACTTTTTGATAAACTCTGACTTCTGTTGGCAAAGAATGCTAACAAATGCTAGACATTTTCTGGGGCTGAGAGATCAAGAAAACAACAACAGTTTAAGAATGACTGCATTGGTAGAGTCATCTACCCTTGTCCTTTACTTGAAAGAGTTTTCTCCTTTTTCTTCCTCTTCCTTTGTGCAGTCTTTTCCTAGTTCCAGAACTGTTCAGAGTGGAGAGAACCAGAGCTCTGATGAGGCACATGTAAGGTTTGGGTGTCTGAACCACTCCTCCAGTGACATGACCTTGGTCAACTTACACCCTGTCATGTCTTCTTTCTAAAATAATACTGTAGGTATAAATTGGCCTGACCTAGTATATGTTCTCAGCCATTAGAGAAGTCAAGCAACTCTCATCTTCCTTGTGTGCCTCTTAAGAGATGCCTTGGCATGCATGTCCAAGGAACAAAGCATACTTTACTGTCAGAAATGACATGTGAGAGAACACAATATTCCACAAAGCTGTTGCTAACCAACATGCACCACATATATTCATAGGAAGTACAGTTATTATGCTAGAGTTTTTGGTATCACAAAATATTAAAACAGCTGAGATGATAAGAAGAGACATTTATACCTTGATTTAAGAAAGTTGCTTCCTTATGATGTGGTTTTAAAGGCTCTCTCTAAGGGGTGAGATGGAATGTCTTAAGTCATTCAGACAGGAATGCTGTTTCAGAAATGAAACCTATAACAATGACAAGTGCTTTGGAAGAATTGAAAAAGGGAGATTTTCCTTAACAACAGGGTGGGTATAGGGAAAGAAGGTGAGGGCAAGAAGAAACTTGAAGCCAAGTCCTTTAAATCCAACAAGATGGCTTGGATGGAATCTAGGTGGGGTGGTAGTACAGATGTCAGAACTGGGGTTGAATCACTGCTCTGTACACTGTTAACTACCCTTGAGTTAGGCACAGTGCCAAGTCTTAGTTTTTCCTTCTAAGAACTCATACCAGTCCAGTTTACCCTGCAGTTTTCTTGGGGTCATGACAAAGGAGATAGAGAAGCCTTTCAAAGGGGAGGCTATTTCCAGGTGCCAATCAGGCTGATGACTTCTCTGGGAGGTTATGTCTATCCCATAAAACAGGAGTGTATTAACTCTATTTTCACAATCAGCACCAAGTTCAATTCAAGATGAGGGGAGTTGGGCTGGGAAGGTGGCTCAGTGGTAGAGCGCTTGCCTTGCATGCCTGAGGCCCTGGGTTCGATTCCTCAGCACCACATAAGCAAAAGGAAAAAAGCCGGAAGTGGCACTGTGGCTTCAAGTGGTAGAGTGCTAGCCTTGAGCTGAAGAGCTGAGGGACAGCGCCCAGGCCCAGAGTTCAGGCCTCACGACCGG